GGTGTATAAGCAGGAGTGTTGTAAGCAAAACATGAGAAGTAATTCTTTCCCTCTCCTCAGCACCAGTAAGGCCTCAACTGGAGCACTGTGTCCAGCTCTGGGCACCACATTGTGGAAAAGATGTGAACAAAGTGGAGAAAGTCCAGAGGAGAGCAACAAAAAATATTAAAAACTAGAAAACCTACAAGGAAATACTGGAAAAAAATAGCGTTATTTAGGCTGGAGAAGAGAAGACTGAGTGTGGACATGATAACGCTCATAAAAATACATACAAGGTTGTTACAAGAAGCACAGTGATAAGTTGTTCTCCTTTACCACTGAGGACAGGACAAGAAGTAATGGGCTTAAATTGCAGCAAGGGACACTTAGTTTAAGTATTGGGGGAAAAAACCTGTCAGGGTAATTAAGCACTAGAACAAATTCCCTAGGGAGGTTGTGCAATCTCGGTCATTGGAGGCTTTTAAGAACAGGTTAGACAATCACCTGTCAGGGATGGTCTAGTTCTGCTACAGTACAGTGGACTGGATAAGATGACCTATTGAGGCCTGTTCCAGTCCAACATTTCTATGATTCTATAACCGAAGTATCATTTTCTATAGGAATAAAAATTAAAGGAAACACTCAGTGGTTTTATGGTTTCAAATTACCTAGGCCTTTGATGAGCAATCATGCTAAGCAAATACCCTTAAGAGTAATTTCTCCCCCAGTTACCATACGTTGCAGTCTCATTTTAGAAGACAGTAAACAAGAAATTAACTTGAAAAACGTTTTGCTAGAAACTTAATCATTGGATGTAAACATGCAAAACTGATTTTGGAATTTGGAAAGAGAACTGATCAAGCAGCAGGCAAATCAGTACCGTTTGATCAATAATCAGGGCAGCTGGACACTGAATATTTTCAAAGCTGCCTAGGAAATTTGAATGCCCATTTCCCCATGCCCATTTCAAGTTTCACATGACTTTGAAAATCTCAGCATGAAGGTCATAATTCTTGAGGACCTATCTATTAAAGAGCTAGAATACATAGAAAATCTTGTGGGAGAGGCCTGGAGGAAGGAAAACTCTTTAAGGTTCTTCACAGCCTCTTTTCATTAGAGGGGTTTGGGGGTTGTGGATTTTGGAGGCCATGCCCACTCTCAGCCCCACAATTCCAAAGGAAGGGACCCCTAAGCAAAGATAGGAACAGCTCTGCAGGGACAGTTATTGCTCTCATGGCTCCTTCCCCCTGAGGATCCACCCCTGATAGAAAAGAGGAGTCTACAATGATACCTTGTTTCCTTTTCACTAAAGGAACTTGTCCTGTTTGTCTGTGGTTAAACAAAAGAAGTGAGGTTTCAAGGCCACAGAATAAACTACTTTGCAAAACCTCTTCATCTTTCTTTAGTTTACAGATATATGTAGCGAAAAGTGAAACTGTAAAACAAACACACACACGAGAACTGGCCTTGGATAGCACAACTGAGAGAATGCAGAGAATGTGTCCCTATTACCAGTTTATAACCCATTTAGAATTATAAAAACAGAATTAGGCCAGTGCTTTTGAGGAACGCACTTTAGATTACCATTTGGGACAGAGGTTGAGACGTTTCTATCTTTAAAATCTGAACTTGATGTGCCCTTGGCATTCCTTACTGATTAGCTGATAAATGTAATACATCATAGCCCTCCCATTAATTTTGTTACCAAAGTCCTCAAGTGGCTTTGAAACTCATAGACTCATAGACTCATAGACT